AAAGAGGACCGTGAGAGGTAAAAGGAGATCTTAGGGGAGAGAAAAGTGCTGGGTAAAGAAAGGTAAAAAGCGGTAGGCAAAAAAATGTGAGGTTAAAGGGTGGTTTGGAGATGAGAACAGAAGCTAACAAGAAGTGGGCAGGATGGAGTCGTGGGAAGGGCAATAGTGGATGGATAGATGGATGATGGATGGATGATGAATGGATGATGGATGGATGGATGATGGATGGATGATGGATGGATGGATGGATGGATGGATGGATGGATAGATGGATGGATGGATGGATAGATGGATGTTAGGTCTCAAAACCTGGGACAATGGCTGAGGTACTTATTTAACATATTTAAGTAGACCTGGCTGCCAAGTTCTCCCAGAATCCCTCAGTCTGTACCTGTTACAGGTATAGCTGGCATAACCCACCCCCTACCCTAAACTTGTCCAGTCTAGGAGCTGGGCTGCCCTTCCCCAAGCTGCCCTTCCCTTCATAAAGCAGACATTTTGGCTATGCCTCTCTCTTGGTCAGTGTCTTGGCCCAGGCTGCTCCTCTTGGTTGGCAGCTCCTCCCTCCTCTCCTCTCTCCCTCTTCTCACATGACTCAGAGTCTTGTCCATTCTGGACTCTCCCAAATGTCTCTGCTCTGGCTATGCTCTCCCATATATCTATAATAAACTTTCTCCTCCACCTAGGAACAGTCATGGCCTTTTCCTTTTTTTTTTTTTTTTAATTCAGTGATTAAGAGCAAAGTATGGATGAAAATGTCATAATGAGACATGCTACTTTGTGTGCTGGCTTAAAACATATATTTTTTAAAAGAAAAATCAATTTAATGATTTTCCTCTCGTTATGAAAATTTCCAGATATTCACAAAACTAGATTTAAAAAATTATTTTGTCATTCTGGTTTCATTTTATTAGCATTTTTTTGGGCTAAAGAAAATCCAAATCTAAGACCTCTTGAGACTTCATCTTACATACTTATAATTCTGATTTTTAATTGAGCTGCTGAATAACTGGTTAACAAAGCACAGGATATCTCAGGAAATACCTTGTGAGGTGAGAAGCGCAGCAATTAATCTTTTCTTTCTAATCAGAGGAAGCAGCAGGGTTCGAGTTAGATCAATTATGCTCAGAAATGGGAAACTTTTTGTTTTTAATCAAAAAACATGGAAGCAATTTGGAGTCCTTTAAGCCCTGACTCCTCTTTTCCTTCCTCCTGACTCCCCACGGACATCTCAAGCGTCCCTTGCCCACAGTGTGACCCGACAGAAGGCAATTCACACTTGTTAACTCTGCAAGGAGCTGGCAGGGCTCCGGAACTTTCCACCTGGCAGGTCCCAGACCCGCTCATCTACCTCAGGAACTGTTATTCCTTCAGATGTTGCCACGACCACTATCTTATGACTGTATTTCTCAGTTTTTAAAAATAAATTTGGAGTCCGGCATGGTGTCCAGTGCCTCTAAACACAGCCTGAGAGGGCAGGGCAAGAGGATATCCTGCTTGCAAGAATTCAAGGCTTTGCAGTGTGGCCTGCTGATCTGGGTCCCCACGAGGCACGGCATCAATCTCTTTTATAGCAAGGGGTCTCCAAGGTGCACATGCTGATCTGTAATAACCACAACTGGGAACGTGCACTGCGCTCCACCACAGATTAAAAAACAAACAAAACAGAACCCAGAACAAAATAAAACAAAGCACTAGCCAGGTGGTGGTGCATATCTTTAATCCCAGCACTCAGGAGACAGAGGCAGGCGGATCTCTGTAAATTCGAGGCCTGACCGGTCTAGAGAGTGGGTTCTAGGACAGCCAGGGTTACAATTCCTGTCTCGAAGAAAGAAAGGAAGGAAGGAAGAAAGGAAGGAAGGAAGAAAGGAAGGAAGGAAGAAAGGAAGGAAAGAAGGAAGGAAAGAAGGAAGGAAAGTAAGCACCTATTCCCTAGGATTGTCACTCTAGGGTTAACAACTTTTGACATGTTTACCAAGTCACACACTGAATAAACATTCCTAGGCTCATGAGGAACTAGAGACTGTCGAAATAAATTGCATTTATCCAGTAGAAAACAGCTTTGGTGTTCCTCACCCTTTTCTTCCCCCTTCTTTCCTTCCTGCTTGCCAGCTTGGCCGACCTTCCTTCCTCCTGCTTCTTGGCTGTCTCTCCTCTCTCGCCCTGTGGTTTTTTGGTTTTTTTTGTTATTAAAAAAATGTTTCATGTCTATTTTGGAAAAATTTTAAAGAGAGCAAAAACAGAGTACTCTCCTGGAAACAGTAACCCCGAGTGTGTCTCACCGTGTGAAGAGAACTCAGAGATGGAAAACTAAGATGGAATTTGTCCTGGAACGCTCTGGAATAAAGTGCCCCTAGTCTGTTCACAGTTACACATTCTTGAGGGCTTCACTAACCTTTGGGCTTTCTCAGGACAACTGTTTACTCCCAGAAGTCACCATGTTTTATGGGTCAGCATTATACAACGTCTAGACACAAACAACTGGAAATACTTGTGCATTATGCTGGAACTATCCTCGGGGAACGGAGTCACACTATTGGTTGACACTGCTCAGACCTGCCCTCAAAGGTTTTCTCTTTTAGAACAACATAGCATGGCATGGTGTTTGGTAGCAACAGTTGTTCTTGCAGTAGTTTTAAATTAGTGTTAATGTGTATCAGTGGTTAACTGTTACATTCAGATACAGTTAGTGTACATTTTCTGGTTATATTTAACCACATCACCATCAAGAAAATCTCATTCTTTTTTAATTATTTGAATGACACTATAAATTAATGACAGTCATGCAGAAGTCTAATGTGAGCTAAGTTAAACAGAGTAGTACTTTTCTTGGGATTGCGCTTTGCTTTGTTTTTTGGTCTTTCCGAGACAGGGTTTCTGTGTAGCTTTGGAGCCTGTCCTGGAACTCCCTCTGTAGACCAGGCTGGCCTCAAATTCACCGAGATCCGCCTGCCTCTGCCCCAAGTGCTGGAATTAAAGGTGTGGGCCACCCCCCCCCCCCGGCTGGTTCTGTTCTTAAAGCAGGGCCCAGGCTGTCCTCAAACTCATGGCAATTCTCCAGCCTTAGACTCCTTAGTGCTGGAATTATAGGTATGAGCCACCATGCCTGGCTACTTTCTTTTATTGTAGATTGCAATTACTAATTTGATTTAAAAGAAGCAGGGGTCCCAGCACCCCAGAAGCAGAGGTATGCATATCTCTGAGTTCCAGGCTAATGTGGGGTCTACAGAACAAGTTCCAAGAAGGACTACACAGAGAAACCCTGTCTTGAGAAACAAGCAAAAATAAGAGAAGGGGATCTTTTTTATTTTTATTTTATTTTATTTTATTTGGTTTTTCAAGACAGGGTTTCTCTGTGGCTTTGGAGGCTGTCGTGGAACGGGGATCTTTTTAAAAAATAAAAATAAAATAAAAAGTGTTACCCATAGCTAGGAAACAGTTATGTAAGTAAAGGAAAGAAAACCAGAGTTGTTGGTGCACTCCTTTAATCTCAGAGCTCAGGAGGCAGAGGCAGGCAGAGCTCTGTGAGTTCAAGGCCAGCTTGGTCAGGACAGCCAGGGCAGCAAAGTGACACCCTGTAATTCTTTAATTGTAGTTCAGTTTAAGTAGTCTTAAATTAAAAGGTAATTTTGTCTTTCTTTTTTGCTTGATATACTCATCGGCTAGTGAACAATAGAAGACCGAGACAAATGTTTATATTGTCGTCAAGTATGTCATCTCCCCACCCCACCCCAACACCTTTTGGTTTTGTTGATGTTTTTGAGACAGGATCTCCTGGAGCCTGGACCAGCTCAACTCCTGATCCCCACTCATCACCTTCCTGTGTGTTTGAGCCAGGGGGCACAGCTCAAACTGAGTTTTCTGTGGTAAAGGACTTAAGAAAATACCTGTGTTTCTTTGAAGAAATTGTATCTAGACTTGACACACTGTACTCAGGTCAACAAACTGGTCACTCCCGGGCAACCCCAACCTCAATGCCAATGTTACTGTTCTTTGGAGCCTGAAGTGCTGGCTTCCTCCCTCCCTCTCCCCCCTCTCTCTCACACACACATACACAGAGCAGTATAAACAAAATAATGCTACATTTGCCTTTTAAATAGACTTTTAGAATTCAGCAGCACACCACTGTTTCCATGTGTATATTGGAGAGGGTGCCAAGTTGTTATGAGAAATGAATCACACGGAAAAGCTCAGCTGAAAGCCTTGAAAGCCTTAGCACGGATTTGAAGTCCAGAGATTGCTCCCCAAGCCAGACACTGGAGGTACCATCTGGGTGAACAAAGCTCACCAGCAGGGTGGCCTCTCTGGGGCCGAGAGGGAAAAAGAATTCCCACCCCCAAACACACTTGAGAGTCTATGTGTTTGTTTCAGGGGCCCCATGCGCGTGCGCACATACACACACACACACACACACACACACACACACGCGCGCGCACACACACGTGATCGTGACTTCAAGAGTACAAACAGTTAATGAGTTACTGGAAGAAGTCAAACAGCCGTGTAGAATGGCCAGCCTCGGGCCATTTTCCACAGTCCAACTCCATGTCACATGGCTGGGGGAAAAAAGGTTGGCTTGGTAAGTGTTGCCTGCGGACTCTTCAGCAACGAATGCATCGCACCGCTGCAAACCGTGTGAGCTTTAAAGAGAACTGTGGAGCTTCCTAAGTTACAACACCTGTGTTTGTGGAGGCAGTTTGGTGGACAGTGATACCAGTTATTAGTTTGGTTACTCCATAACCTTCCTGTAAAACGTCTCTGTCACGCGCGCATTCATCCAGTGTGTTCACTAACATCAGTTAGGATGTTAACCAACCCACTGACTTTCAGCTTTTCTGTTAGGGGAAAGATGGGATGCCCTGGATTCACAAACACCTTCATTTTTAGGTACACCATCTACTACCCAACTACCCCCACACCCCCAGCCCATCCCGATCATATTTAAAATGCCTACTATGTGTCAAGCATCTTTGGTAGGGCCTAGACTCAGGAGTCCCATTTTGTATCTTTATTTGTTTACCTATTTTTTAAACTACACCGAGAACTGAACCCACTAAGTGGGTCCTTGACCACTACACTCCATCAGCAGCCCTCTTTGCCAGGCCTCACGAAACAGCACTGTCTGGCCTTGAACTCACTCTGTAGTCAAGTGGGCTTGACTTTTTCATCCTTTGCCTCAACCTCCCAAACAGCCGTGACCACAGGCCCATGCTCCAGGCCCAGCTAGATAGCTCAGGTGCAGCATTAGTCCATAGCTCTCAGGCCTGCAAACTGTAAGGAAAGAAAGCGGTTCAGGGTTTTCCTGCCAGAAAAAACACACAGAACTGGTTCCATAAGCAGCCCTTGTTCCCCAGCCCAGAGACAGAAAATGTCTTTCCTCACTCAAAGTCTGCTCTACCTAATCTCCCTGGGCCACTTTTTGAGGGCACCTTGGACAAATCCCATGGATTTCCAATCATACTGAGTTATTTAAAATTCAGCCTAGTGTGACCTACTTCTCCGCCCACACCGCCCCCATAGGATGTTAGCAAGTTTGTAGCCGAGGGACTGCAGAGGAGTAGGAAAAAGATTCTTTCCTTCCTTCCTGGTCAGAGATCTTGTCAGAAAAGTACCAAGAGATCTTCCCGAGCAGGAGGAGAGTGGGATGGTGTTGATCATGGACTCCTTCCTAGTCTCCAGGAAGTCATTAAGATTTTATTATCTGCCATTGTCAGCCAAACTCTCAATGGCATACCTCTTGAGCACACTCAGAATAAACATTTCGCAATGTGTAGCAAGTGGCAGCCTGTTTATAACCCTGTAATATTATTCATTTAAAAAAAAAAACCCTTAGGGGCTGAGGGTGTGACTGAGCTCGGACTGTGCACTTAGCGTACAAAGTCCAGGAGTCATTCCAAGCACCAAACACAAAATAAAAAAGCTTTTACAGATCACCTAGGCTGCATCAGACATTGCATTGTACACGTGGAAGTGGTGAGTTTGGGGCTGTTGCGATGACCCTGAGCATAAAGGCTCTTGACACTGAGAGAGCTGAGTTCAGGATCCAGAACCCACCGCTTCTTGCAGCTTGTCCCCTGACGACTGCACGCACACCCTGGCATGCGCACAAGTGTGTGTGTGTGTGTAGGCGCACAAAAGCCCACATGAAACACCTCAGTCTATAAAGGTACACTCATTAAGTAAGTAAACAAATGTATCAAAAACATGGGTTCCAATTGGCTCTGTTACTCTTACAGTTTTGGAGTAGGGCCGCCCCCCCCATGTTGCCCAAGGTTGCCTAGAGCTACTGGTTTCAAACAATCCCCCCCCCCCTACACAGTTGCAACTCCAGACAGAACTACATCCTGCTGACTGTATTGTTTGAAGTTAAAACATGAGGAGTTAGTACAAATATTATTTTCTTTCTATTGATGGAAAAACAACCTAGTAGCAAACACGTATTGAGTAGAGACTGTTACCGAGAACCTGCAAAGGAGAACCTGTCCTACTTAATTTAGGAGCTGCTCTGATGAAGGCATTGGTCATGCTAACGGTCATAATGTGACTCCGCTTTACGTCCCTGCTGAGCCAATCTCCAGTTCTGATTCAGAAGGTCACTGAGTGTCCCACCTGGGGGCTCAGAGGCACCGTGTGCTTGCACGGAGTCGACAGCGTCACGGTCGCTTACCAAGTGGTTAGGAGAAGCTGGGCCTGGTGACAGCACCTAGGAGGTGGCAGCCAGAGTTTCAGAAGGCAGCTCAGGGAATCCTGTAAACCTGCAGTCAAAATTCATCCTGGAAAAAAGGGGTGGTTGGTTGGTGGGAAAGGGTTTAGAAGCTTTGCTTTCAGCCGAAGGGACCTAACAGACATGCAGTCAGTGAGTGTCCCGACAGTGAGAGAATTGCTTTCTTCAATGCACATACAAAACATCTTCCAAGAGAGATCTAATGTTCAGTGACAAACAAGACTTCACTATTTTCAGATGACTGAAACCATGCCCCGTAACTTCCTTCATCACAGCAGCGTGGAACTGGAGGACTCTAGAATATTCGCAAGTGTTTGGAAATTAACTACCATGTTAAGGAACAAACAACCAAAGAAATCAAACTCATAATAAAATGCAGAAACCCAATCAACTGAAGTGTAGGGGACACAGCAGACGGACGGATGCAACCACAGTGCCTGTGTCAATCACAGAGAAATGATATCAAATGTCTGAACACATTTGCTTCAGTGGTAAGGGTTGAATCAGTAAGCTAATGTTACACTGAAAGGAACTAGAAAAAAAACGAATTAAGGTTAAAGTGTGGAGAAAGAAGTAAACAGTAAACAATAATCAGAGAAGTTGTAAATGAAATAGAGTCTGGAGGGATGGCTCAGTGATTCGGGGCACATACTGCTCTTTCAGAGGCCCCAAGTTCAGTTCCCAGCACCCACATCTGACAACTCACCTCTAACACTCAAATGTCTGTCCGTCCTGTTTCTCTCTCTCTCTCTCTCTCTCTCTCTCTCTCTCTCTCTCTCTCTCTCTCTCTCTCTCTCACACACACACACACTCATATGCAAAGTCAATAAGTAAAATAGAAACAAACCATCAAGTGACTTATCAGGTTTATCAGGTAAAAGCATTTGCTAGCTGTGCAAGCCTGAAGGCCTGAACCCACAGTAAAAGCAGAGAACAAACTCCTGGAAGTTGTCCTCTGACTTTGACACAAGCATGCCATGATACATATATGCAACCACATTCACATACATGTATCACACACACACACACATACACATACACACACACACAATGCACACTAAAATTTAAAAAATGAAGAAGAAAAATGTAAAAAATCAGTGATAGAAAAAGACAAACCCTTAGCTAGATTGAGGGAAAACAGACAGACAGACAGACAGACAGACAGACAAAAAAGATATGGCAAGATGGCTCAGTAGATAAAGGGGACTGTCACCAAGGCTGACCAACTCTGTTCAATTTTGAGAAACACCTCCACACACGTAACATATTTTTTCTCTTTTGGACAGTGCATTAGGATGCTATGTTACCTGGCTTTTCCTGGCCTTCTGTATTGTAGTCTTATCTCTTGAATCTCTTTATTTTTTCCACCTGGAGATCTAAATGTCATCTACCTTTTGTGTATTGGTTTTCAATATATGTGGTTTTGGGTCGAGAACATGTACAGTCTCTCTGAGCCATATCCCAGAGAGGTAGGAATGGATTGAAACTCCCATTTTTTTTTCTAAAATAATTCATCCTTGCTAAACACATGCTGAAACCCCCCCCCTCCCCCCCGGCTAGTCCTCACATAAGGCATTTGACGTAAGTCACCAGCTGTGGTCTGACAGTTCATATAGCAAGTCTACAATTAATTTGGTTACACTCTGCTCATCCTAACTAAAAACAGCAACTGTAGGGTCTCTTTTAACTCTTTAGTGCTCTCTGAAGTTTTCTTTCGTATGTTGTGGGCTCTCCAAACCCACAGAGGACCCTCCTGCTGCTACTGTAGTTTCAGGTGACATTGCAGGCATCATGATAAGCCACCAGGTTCCTTGTCCCTCCTGGTTCTCTGCTATTGTGCTCTTTTGGGTCATGTTACTGGTGGCTTTAAAGTACAATGGGAAGAAAAGAAGGGTAACATGAGCGGGTTTAATCCATTACAAAGGGCCAGAGAAAGTAGGCCCTTGATACTGTCTTTACCCTTCTACCTGTAGGCTCTGCCCTGCTAGCATCTGAGGAAGGCTGGAAACTCAGGTCTGGCCTTTGAGTCCCTTTCCTGAATGAAAATTCAGACATTGTAATGGTCCCCTTGGGCTGAGTAAAAATGCCTTTCAGCACCGTCTGTAGTAACAGCACAGCATTGCAGAGCTGAGCACTGTGTACCACTTGAGAAAGAGCTTAGTAAATCCTCTCTCTCTCTCTCTCTCTCTCTCTCTCTCTCTCTCTCTCTCTCTCTCTCTCTCTCTCTCTCTCTCTCTCTCTCTCTGGTATTTTTGAGACAGGGTTTGTCTGTATTGTTTTAGAGGCTGTCCTGGAACTCACTCTGTAGACCAGGCTGGCCTCGAACTCACAGAGATCTGCCTGCCTCTGCCTCACGAGTGCTGGGATTAAAGGTGTGCTCCACCAATGCCCGGTGAACTTAGTAAATTTTAAAACCCTTCTTGTCAAGCTGGGGATGTGGCTGCGTTGGAGGATGCCTTTTTAGCTGACCAACTGAAACCCTGGGTTCAACCTGCGGCACCGCATAATCCATGTGTGGTGGTTCACTTCCGGTCCTTGGGCAGTGGAGGCAGGAGGATCAGAAACTCCCAACTACACGGCACCAATATTGATGTCCATGAGACTTTGTCTACAAACAAACGGATGTGAGAGGCAGGCATGGTGACCCATGTCTATAATCCTGGTACTTAAAGCTAAGGCAGACAGATGAAAATGGATTTCAGGCCAGTCGGAGCTACACAAGAATCAAGTCAGCTGGGTCTACACAACAAGTATCAGGCCAGCCAGGGCCACAGAGCAAGACTTTGCCTCCAAATGACAACAAAACCACAATACCAAAATCAGACCAAATCCTAACAAAACCACCCCCAAAGCTGTTATCCAGCCTAGACGTTGTTCTCAACATTTGACAACTGACCCATGGTGTGTGACTACGTGAGAGTGTGTGACTGTGTGTGAGGGAGTACATGTGAGTGTGAATAAGAGTGTGTATGACTACTCGTGTGATAGTGTGTGTGTGTAAAAGTGTGAGAGCCGTGACTGTGTGAGTGTGTGACTGTGTGTGTGCTCCTGAGTTTCGATGTTAAACTGTGTCTTTCTGCACATCCTACCACCTGACACCTGCCATTGTTGTCTAGATGTTTAAATCTTTTTTTTTTTTTTTTTGGTTTTTCGAGACAGGGTTTCTCTGTATTGTTTTGGAGGCTATCGGTCCAGCCCAGCCTCGAACTCACAGAGATCCGCCTGCCTCTGCCTCCCGAGTGCTGGGATTAAAGGCGTGTGCCACCACCGCCCGGCTTACATGTTTAAATCTTAAATCCACCTTGTTGTCACTGCTCTGCCGACCAGCTTCCTGGGGAGAACGGATGAAGTAACCTCAGTTCCAAAGCAGGACAACAACAAAGGTCCCCAGCGAACAAGAGGGGCCTTTTGGGTCAAAGCAGAGCATTGTCTGGGGCTTGAGACAGCAGCTCCATTCATGTACTTTGTGTCTGGGTGGACACACAGGTGTCAGGCATTCACCCTCAGAAGCAGGCACATACATAGACAATTTCTCTGGATTCCTTGCTTCACAATACCAAAATGGTGTTGCAAGCACTTCTTATAAAGAACCAAGTAGGCATAAAAATGGAGACATTTATCGCTAAGTTTGAAGTGACGTGTTTGCTACTGTTATGTACAGGACTAAGGCGAAAACTGATCATCTATACGTGAACTTTGAATCGTGATTTTTTTTGTTGTTGTTTATTGGTTTTTGAGTTTTTTAACTTTTTTTCCCTGAGATATGGTCTCCTATGAGCCTGCCTCGAACTCACGATGTTGCCGAGAGTGGTTTTAAACTGGGATTACAGGTCCGTGTCACCATGACCACAAGATTATCGTTGCCATTTAAATGGCAACAGTGAGCTAAAGCAAATAATTTTAAAACTTCGTTCTTGAGCAACACACACACACTCCTTCCCCTGATTAAAGTGCTACCTGTATTGAGCCGAGTATAACGATGTCTGCCGTCCCATCAGGACACTGAGGCAGGAGGATCAGTGGGAGGTCAGCCTTGGGGACATGGACTCAGCCTCAGGCCAACCAACCCACTCATCAACCAACAGAAGGCCACCAAAAACGCGACCTTTATTACTAGTGGAATACCTAACTTCGCTAGGACTTTCGTTTAAAAAATGGATTGTCTTTTTCTGCACCAGCCTTACAGTCTAATGGCTCCTAAATCTGCTGAAGTGGCCCCTTTTCCACTACTCGTGTGATGACGACCTTTGGGCTGTGTGTAGCTCAGTGGGAGATCGCTTGCCTACTCTGTGTCAGGCGTCCTGATTACCAGAAAGGAAAGAAAAGGAAAAGATAGGAGAGGAAAGAACGCAAAGTGTTTCTAAGTTGTTTTTCCTCCAGTGTTGTTTTCTAACAGTAGCATGTGCAGGGCGGGGTCCTAGCATGTGCAGGGCGGGATCTTACCATGCGCAGGGCGGGGTCCTAGCATGTGCAGGGCGGGGTCCTAGCATGTGCAGGGCGGGATCTTAGCATGTGCAGGGCGGGATCCTCCCAGCTTCCGTTCCTACGTAAGGCATGTAACTACGAAGACTAAAGTAAGGTGCTGGAGAGAGGACTCAGAGGTTAGGAGCACTTGGTGCTCTTCCAGGGGCTCTGTGGGTTCCCAGCACCCCCACGGCAGCACAAAACCAACTGTAACCTCAGACCCCACGCCGGACCTCCCCGGACTCCAGGCACACATGTGAGGCACGGGCATACAGACAGGCAAAACGCCTACACATAAATTAAAGATGAATAAGTCTTAAAAAGCAAAACCAGAAAAGTTTACCGCCCCCACCCACCATATTTAATCTAGTGCTTGTTATTGTTTGTTTTTTGAAACAGGGCCTAATGCAGTCGAAGCTTCCTCCCACTGCCTCTTTTTGAGTGCTGGGGCTGCAGGCACATATCGGCACGCATAGCCCCCTTTGGGTTCATATGATGTGATCGGGGACAGTTTATTCCTCTTTGTTCTGTCAACCCACAGTTATAACTCGTGATCCATAGACACTGCTTAGGGTCATGGAGGGGATAGCAGAAAATACTAGAATCTCTGCTGTCAGAGGGCGATCTGATAGGAGGAGTAGATTCATCCTCAGGTGCTGGGGGTATGAGGAAGAGACAAGACAGGACCTGCGTGGTCCACCCCGTCCCAGTGAAGACAGAACCTGCGCGGTCCACCCCGTCCCAGTGAAGACAGGACAACGCGTGGCCCACCCCGCCCCCAGTGAAGCATCATTAGCTCTTAGGAGCCTGCAGGCCTAGCAGCCAGTCACAGGGGCTGTCTCACATGTGGGGTGTGCAGACAGCGGGCAGCTGGCTGCCTCAGGCCCTCTCCATGTTGCTTGGCAGAGCAGGTGCAGCCTTGTTTAGCCAAGGCGTCGCCGTCTTCCTTTCTTTTGTTTTTTGCTTCTCACTCCATGTTTGGTGCTGCAGACGTTTTGAATTCCTGAGTTTTCAGTTATGTCATAATGACAAACCCTAGTTTTCTGTTAGGTGTATGGGAGGGGGTTAGCATACAAAGAGATGGGTATCATTCCAGAATCTTCATGCGTATGTGTTATTTCAGGGTGTTCTGGCTTATTCCCCCTCCCCCGCCCCCATCCTGTGTCTCCTGCCCCGTCCCCTCTGGCTGGTTCCCTTTCTTCCCTTTGATGTCATATGAATCCCATTACTCCTGTCTCTTTTTCCTTCCTTTATCTTTTCTTTCCCTCTTATGATCTTTTAATTACACACACACACACACACACACACACACACACACACGAGAGGAAACACAGAGAATATGTCTCTCATTCTGGCTTATTTTGCTTAACACAATGATTTCCAGTTCTTGTCTGTTTCCCACAAATATTACAATTTCATTTTTCACTATAGCCAAGCAAAATGGGTTGTGTATGTCTCCATAGTTTCTTCATTCATTTGTCTTTCCCCCCATATTTATTTATCTATCTGTCTAGGTCTAGCTGTCCCGGAACTTACTTCATAGACAGACTCTGCCTTGAACTCAGAGAGATCTTCCATTTGTCTTTTGATGGCCATCTAGGCTGTTTCCACTTCTCGGTACTGAGACTCGCTCAGCAATAAACATGGATGTATGAGCACCTCTGTGGTATGTTGATTCAGAGTCCTCTGGGTAATAACCAATTAAACATGTTTTCAATTGAGTAGATGATCCAGCTGTTAGACATGCCTGCATAATTTGATTTCACAGGATAGTTTCTTCAGTAAATGCTTCATGTTGTTACACTGGGAATGAAATCGAACTCCATTATAATTAAAATATTTATCACTTGAGGCTCTGGGTTTGTACTCGGCCATCCATTTGTTCCCTCATACAGAATGCTTATTACATAACAAGCTATAAATATGCTCCCTCATCTTTTATATGTGGCAGAATTGCTCTGACTTAACAGCACAATGTGGGTGTCACAAGGCAGATATTTAAAGATGGCTTAACACGTGTAGAAAAAAGAAACGGGGACCAACAATACAGTTCAGCAGGCAAAGGTACTTGCTACTTACTTTATGAATGGAGTTCGACCCTTAGGATCCACAAGGGGGAAGGAGAGGACAGACTTCTACAAGTTGTCCTCTGCTATGAGCACTTTCCCCCTCACAAAATAAATACAAAGTAATACAAACAATTCAAAGCAAGAAACGAGACCAGGATTATAGGTAACTCCTAAAGCATTTGCCTAGGATGCATGCGAGTTTGCCCTTGACACCACCACCAGCAGCAGCAGCAGCAGCAACAACAATTGAGAAAGAAAATAAAAGGGAGAAGTAGGTTTGCCACAGAAGGACCAGAACAAGCCTCATGATGAACATTGCTGGAGCATCATCCTAGAAGTGAGACTGAATGAGTGCGATTTCAAGGAAAAGACGAGTGATTCCAAGAACTGTGAGACCTAAGCCATGCAAGTAGTGTGAACTGGATGCTTCCTAACAATGCATGTTTTGACAACTGTCTTATAACGTGCTTGCTGCACACCTTTACTGACACACCGGAACTAAGACCAGTCCAAAGATAAGTGGGCTAGCCACCAAAGCATTCACTATCATCTCCGGGGGATCTGATAGTACAAGCCCTGTCAGAGGCTGTTCTTACAGCAGGCTGGCAGAGTTTCAAGGACTAACTAGCTTGGTTTACAGGTTGATTAGCATCATTCATGTCCTGGCTACTATTTTAAGCCGAGGAAATGTGGTAATAGATAAGATAAGATGTACCTTTTTTTTTTCCTCCTGGGCCAGCTTTCTAGTACAAAAGATGAACTCATAGGAGGTAAACACAACACCCTGACTCTATGACAATTTACAAAGTATCAAGTCTGATGGGAGGCAGAGGCAGAGGAGGACAACTCCAAGGAAAAGGTCAGCCCCATCCGGCAGGGCTACATAGTGAGGCTGCCTCAAACCAACCACCTGACCCCACAGGTTTTTGTAGCGTGGAAGCAGTGCGAACAGCATCTGGGAACAAATTGTCAGACCATCCTGATGAGCTGAGCAGATGCCACCAAGAAACCAGGAGGGAAAAACCAAAATCAAGGTGATTAGAAAGAAAAGGCAGAGAGACATGAACACTCGGACAACTGACAAGTTTTAGTTCATGGATGTAGCATGTCTTTTTATTTACTGAAGGGCATCTTGGTTGTATGCATAAAGGTTCTATAAACACTTATCCGCTGGTTATGTGGATATAACTTTTCAACTCATTTAAGTAAGTATCCAGGAATGTAACTGGTGGCGTCCTACCTCTGATGGACACGTGCTGCCCGTTCTGCCCGCATTTGGTCTTTTCAGACTTAGGAGTTTTAGCTGTATCTCATTGTTTAAGGTCACAATCCTTAGTGACTAGGATCTTGCCCACATTCTCATCTTTAGATCAATGATCCAGTCAGTTAATTCTCGTGAAGGTTGTTCAGGTGTTTGATTGCAGCCTGAGCATCTTCTTGGTAAGTGTTTGCTGTGTTCCTCTGCACAGTCCAAAGAGTTTTTCCTAAGTGTGGTATCACATGTTTTGAATCCCAGCACTCAGGATCCAGAGGACAGTGGATCTCCGTGGATTCCATGCTTGCTTGGTGTACTTAATGAATTCCAGGTCAGTTAGGGCTGAATAGTGAGAGTTCTTCAGATGAATAGATAGATAGATAGACAGATAGATAGATGGATGATAATGATAGATGGTAAATAGATGATAGATGGTAGATATAGATAGCTGATAGATAGATAGATGGATGGATGGATGATAGATAGGAGATAGCTGATAGAGAGATAGACAGCTGATTGAATGAGAGCAGGTGAGAGAGAAAGGAATGCGTTTGTTTTCCCAGAAGTTTGCTGGGAATTTGAGGACTGAATCCATGATGTCACTTATGCTATCGCAAGTGCTCACTGTAGCCTGTTCACGGCCTTCCATGGAGTTTTAAGCGTGCACACTGTATTTTGGAGACAAGTACTTTACTAGATATATGTTTTCTCTTAATCTGAGACCTGCCTTTTCACTGTCTTAATGAGACTTGTAGAGTAAAAGTTTTCTGTTGTAATGAAGTACAACATAACTATTTCTTTCATGAATTGTGCTTTTGAGTAATTGTGTTTTTTTTTTCTTCATGGATTCTGAAATTTGATCTCTTACATATAAAATGCCACTCTCAATCCCAAAATACCTAGATTGTCTACTCTGGTACTTTCTAAGAGGACATACATGCATATGCATGTGCTTGTACATGTGCACAGACATGAAAGCACACAGAGACATGAATACACACACCGACATGTGCTCACACATGTGCACACACACATGCACATCCATAGGCATGTATATAGACACGTACACACAGATATGTGCAAACACTTGTGTAAAAGCACTTATATTCGGTAGTGCTGGGGGCCAACCCAAGGCCTCACACAATCTGTTATAAATCTTGTCTTGTGTCATCTTTAGATTAATTCTCGTGAAGGTTGTTCAGTCTGCATCTAGAGTACTTTCCATAGGGATGAGCCCAGCTGTCCATCACTAGCTACTGGAAAGATCATCCTGTCTCTGTTAAGCACCTGGCTCATTGTCTATTTTCAGGTAACTGAACCATATGTGTCTATTTTCCCGCTCCAATTTCACTTCTGTAGTCATTTAACAGTACCACGCTGTCGGGGTTACGATTACTGTATACGGACAGAATCTTGTAGCTGTGTATTGCCTGTCTTTTAACTTTCTAAAAAATATTCTTTGGGTTATTGGTCTCTTGTCTTTGCATTTAGCTGGGCAGTTGTTTCAGTTTTAGGAAAGATCTATTTTTAATTGTGTGCATTTGTTCAGAGATCCTCACAGAGCAGCAAGAGCTATTAACCTCCAAGCCTTCTCTCCAGCCCTGACAAGAAGCCCAGCTTCTTGATGTCCATAAATAATCTTGATAGGAATCGAGTTGTGTTTGTAGATTAAGGCAGTATGAATTGGTTTTCAGCTGGGCAGTCGTGGCACATGTCTTTAACCCCAGCTCTCAGGAGGCAGAGGCAGGACGATCTCTGTGAGTTTGAGCCCAGCCTGATCTCAAAAGGAAAGGTGTTGTTTTTTTATTTTGAAATGGGTTTTCGTATAGTCTCACTATGTAGCTGAGGCTGGTTTGAATCCCTGATCCCTCTGCATCTCCTTCCAAGCAGTGGGATTAAAAGTGTGTGCCCCCATGCCAGAATTTTTAAATGATTTTTAAAGTTTTATGTTTAACTGTGGAATTGTTGGTAATTGCATTAGTTATAAAAATTTTCATTTTTTAAAAATCCCACAAGACATCCAAGAGGTACTACTTAAAATGTGGAACTATTAGTGTGTTCTGTTATTTTATCCTCAACCAAATGGAATGCATAATCTAGTATTTCCTGTAATACTTTTCCCCCTTTACTGTGTGTGTGTGTGTGTGTGTGTCTGTATGCACTCCAAAGGAAGTAGGGAAAAGAGGGACACACACACACACACACACACACACACACACACACACACGACACTGAAAGCAGAACCTTCCATAGTGATTTCGAAAAAACATACCTAAGCCTGGAAAATGTTCAATACATTTACTATGTTGCAAAAATGCAAAAGTGGATTTCTTTTTCGTGTAGGAAGTCTATCTTTGTTCCTGACTTATTTGTTCTGTGACTTCCAAAAGTAAGTAGGCTCATTCGGAACAATGGGAACGTAAATGTGTGCTAACAGGTAATAAAACATTCTGACAATTCACAAACAAATGAATGTTCACTTTGTTCTCAGCCCCGGGGAAGCCAGAAGCCTAGGTGAAACAAACTCGCCTCCTTTGTCTCCGTCATAAAAGGCAAGCGGGAAGTGCACACCGAATACTCACAGATGATCGGGTTTCTGACATTCCTCTAACAGGCAGAGAGTGGAGTTCCTCAGAGACTCTAGAGGCTTCGTGTGTCCCCGCGAGTGCCAGCACCCTCTGTGACCTACCCCGACAGCAATCTGTTTTTCTGTCCTCTCTCTCTCTCTCTCTCTCTCTCTCTCTCTCTCTCTCTCTCTCTCTCTCTCTCTCTCTCTCTCTCTCTCTCTCTCTCTCTCTTCCAGTTTCTACCCTGTTTTTACAGGCCTTGAATAGCAAGGTCAAGTATCTGACCCTTGAGATGAGTGTTGCAGCAGCCTCGCCCTATTTGATGGCTAAGTAGCCCTAGCAGACCCGGAAAGCACTAGATATAGCCCAGGCTGGCTTCGAACTCATGGCAATCCTCCTGCCCGAGCCTCCTGGGCGCTAGGATAACAGGTGTGCGTCATCACACCACCCACCATCGTCGGTGTACGCTCACGAAACCTAAAGTTGTCCCAAATAACTGTGATCTCTATGTACCGCCCAAGGGAATTTGGTTGCTAAACCTAGCATGTGGGTTTCATGTCCACAGCTCCAGGAGTGAGGCGACCACATGAAACCAGCTTGGCCAAGCTCACAGCCTGAATGCAGGGTTATTTCAGGACGTGTCTTCTGCATCCCCTAAAAGCCTCAGCTCGAAGCAAGGCCACAGCCCACGACCCTACGGATCTAGAAACGGTGACGCTCTGTTAAACGCCTGACAGGCAGGGCTGGGTAGCGCTCCACAGGGCATCCGCAGAGTTCGGCAGGGCTCGGCAAAGCTCGACAGCACTTCGGCAGGGCTCGGCCAGACCCCCGGGAGGGCTCGCTTGAGCTCCGGCAGGGCTCGGCTGAGTTCGGCAAGAGCCCGGTAGGGCTCGGGGAGGGCTCGCTTGAGCTCCGGCAGGGCTCGGCAACACTCGGGCTCCTTCGGGTGCGGGAGCCCCCAGCCGGCCTGCCCCCCCACAGTAGCGGAGCGGCCTGCGGGGCGCGCGCGCGCGTTCCCGGAGACGCCCCCCCACCCCCTCAATCCCCGAGAGCCCCGCAGCCCGCCCATTGTGCCGCGGGGGTTCGCCCCCCGGCCGGCCGCCTGACGCAGCCGAGGCTCCGCCCCCGGCGTGACGCCGGCGTCAGGCCAGTCCCGGCATGCTCCGCGGCTGCCCGCGGCTGAGAGCAGCACCGAGGCGTCTTCCCGGAGAGCGGCCGCTCCTCCGCGTCGCTGCACTGCGCACACCCCGGCCGCCCTCGCCTCCCCCGCCGCCCGCTCGCCCGCTCGCCCGCCCGCCCGCCCGCCCGTGCGTCCGAGAGCGGCCGCAGCCCTCCGCCGAGGGCGCCCCGGGACGGAAGGGTCCAGCAGCCTGCCGGCGCCCGCCGCGCTCGTGGTCGCCGTCGCCGTGGTCGTCGTGGTCGTGTCCGCCGTCGCCTGGGCCATGGCCAATTACATCCACGTCCCGCCCGGCTCGCCCGACGTGCCGAAGCTCGACGTGACGGTGCAGGACCAGGAGGAGCAGCGCTGCCGCGACGGCGCCCTGAGCCTGCTGCGGCACCTGCGGCCGCACTGGGACCCCCGCGAGGTGACCCTGCAGGTGAGGCCGGGCGGGGACCGCGTTTCCTGCCCGACGCCGCCGCCGTCGCCGCAGCAGCAGCATCAGCGTCGCCGCTCCCGGCCGGGGATGGCTGCCTCTGCCCCTGCCCCTGCCCCTGCCCCTGCCCCTGCCCCTGCCCCTGCCCCTGCCCCTGCCCGACGGCTCCTTCCTTCCCCTTCCTCTCCTCCCCAGACCCCCGCAGCCGGTCCGCCCTCCCCGTCCCTGCCTTGTCAGCCTCCGGTCCCTTCCCGCATCCTCCATCCCGGAGCGGAGTGACCGTGGACCTGCCGCCTGCTGCCCACGCCAGGGTGCTGCGGGAGGGAGGAACGCTTCTCTGTGCCTCCTTGGAGGGCTCGAGTTGGCGTTTCTAAATTGGTAAAGTCTTCAGTGAAATTCGTGCCTGAGGGTTAGGGTGAGCAGTGAGTGGCCTGGGAATGTTGTCGTGAGACAGAAATTCCCAGGAGGAGTAGGAGAAAAAAAAAATAGAATCCCGAAAATGTAGGATTAAAACAACAACAACAGCAGCAAAGCAGCTAGTTAGGATTCGTCATACCCAGAATTTATTTTGGTGTGATTTGGTTTTAGTTTAGTTTTTTTTTTTTTTGCAATACACTTCTTTAGGAAATACCAACTTGAGCTTCCTTTTTTTTTTCCTTGCAAACAAACAAAAAGCCAAATTATTATTATTTTTTTTTCACCGCTGGATCTTGTTTTAGATTTGAGCAATAATGGGAGAGCATTTATTTGCATCGTTCAAGTCATCGTTATTATTTTGATGACTCCAATAAATTGTGGGGTTTATGCAAGGCTTATTTAATTTTTTTGTTGTTGAATTATTTTTAACATACTTAAAACATGAGCTCAGAGCAGTTCCTGACACTTGGGGATTTTCATGAGTTTTAGTTTCGGTTCTTGCTAGAAGGGTTCTGAGTAGATTAAAGGAACCCATATGTTGTAGGGAAGAAACCTGTTAGACAAAAGACTGAATTTTAAGGCTTGCTTGTTGGCTAAGTGTAGAGGAAATAGCGTATTCAAAAAAATTTTTTTACGTATAACTTGGAAAATTATTATATTTCCTTTTAAGGAAGGGCTTTTCAAATGGAAACATGTTTATGTACTTGTTGTTGGGAACACAGGCTGTTAAGAGTCCTAGGCAAGTGCTCTACCACCAAGCTTCGTCTGAGGTCCTCAAGTTAGACTGTTCTTGCAGTATGTATTAAATGTAATGAAATGTATTTCTGGAAAATATCTTACTAATTAAAAGCAGTCCTGCTTCCTGGTAGACTGCAGTGCTGGCAACCAGTGTGATTTTTTTTAGCAGTGACTTTTAAAGTTTGAAACTTTGAAGCTTGGAATTTCCTTTGATTTAATTGTGCGTAGAATAGTGGAAATAGCTATTGGATGGTGTTGCTGTGTGCTGGATTGAGCTATATTTTTTTAAATCATGGTTGCCTAGGAAACCATATTAGGTAGGTGCTATCTCTTAGTTCATGTGAAATTTAGTGAAGGAAAGCCAGGGTATATGTTAAAACAAAGGAGAGATACAAAACTAGTTTGGTTGTTGTACAGGAAATCAGGTTAAATCATGATTTCTGTGTAGCATGTTTTTTTTGTTTTTGTTTTTTTGTTTTTTTTTTTGAGGCAAGGTGGCTGGATTGCTCTCACTCAACTGGCAATCCTGTTTCAGGCTCCCATTGTGGTGGGATTGTAGGCTTTTCCACCGTTCCTGGCTTATGTTGTCACTTTAGCCTTAACCTTTAGGTTCGTAATCTGATTTTATAATATGCATATTTGAAAGTGGTGACGTCACTCACTTATCTCTAGAATTGATAATTAGAAATTCATTTCCTCTTGTACAAGCAGAGCTCTTGGATCAGAAGCTGAGCCATCTGTAAGCCAGGGTTATGGTTATTTATTTATCTCTCAGCTCAGTGGAGTGGACTTTACACATACTGGGACATTACAAACTAATGTCATGGAGCTTTGTGTAGTAATTCTGTTTTTGTTGTTATTTTTTATTTTCTTTAGACTAGGTATCGCTGCGTATCTCCCTCTGTCTGGTCTGGAACTGGCTCTGTAGACCAGGCTGGCCTTGGCCTCCTGAGCTTTGGGCTTAAAAGTTTTTGTCGCTGCAACCTGCTTGGTTGGTATTAATGGCTATAGTTACTTTTGGAATTTTATCTTCCTTGAACTGTAAGGATAATACTCCTACCTCATTTCAGAAAGGGAATCATGTATCTTTTTAATTTTTTTTATTTAAACTAGAAATAAGGTTGCATCACATGCCAATCCCAGCTCCTGCTCCCTTCCCCCCTCCCCCAACCCTTCCCTCCCTAGCCCCCCAACTCTCTACCCTGGGAACCATGTATCTTATAGCCAAAAAATAATGTAATTTCAGGTCAGCTGGAATCAATAATAGCCTTGTTTCCCTATGTTCCTCCCTCCCCTTTTAGTGTGTGTTTCTGAGTATGGAAGTGGGAGCCTAATACATGTTACATAAGCTTTCCACTACTTGGCTATGGCCCTGAGCCCTTACCTGTTTTTCCCCCCAAACTAACATTTTTCTTGGCTGCATGTAGTGGAGACAGGAGGATCAGGAGTTCAGGGTTGTTTCTAAGGCTTCATGTTGGCGGTTGAGCATGAGTTACTTGAGACCCTGTCTTAGCACCCTACTCCCCGGAAGAAAAAAACACATTAAAATATTCTCTAAACATTTTCGAGGTTTTTTGTGACAACCCTTATCTTTCCTGATAGTTACTCTTATAATAGCAACATGTAGAAGATGAAAAAATGTAGAAACAGGCAAAGACCCAAAAAGAATTAGATGTGATCCAAGTGATAGAGTTAGTCTCTACTCAGAACTCAGTGGCATGTGAAATTGGTTCTTGTTTTGGCTAAAGCTGTCCTCATCAGAAGTAAAAACAGAAGTAAGGAGGGGTGTCATGAGTCTTTTGAAGTTAGATTTCTGTATAGGTATAGTAGTAGTGCACCAGCTACAGCTAACTGCTCTGTTTCATGCTGTCTCGTTCTAAAACGGCTTCCACCCGCATTCCCCACTGCCCCATAGGAAGGGAGCCAGCAGGAACTGCTGATGGGTATTCCAGTGGAACTGAGTCTGTGTGTACGTGACAGGTCTAGGAGGGACTTACCTTAGGAGTACTGCTCCTTGGCCTAGAAAGGTTGTGTGTGTGTTGTGATTGAGGCAGGGGATCCATGCCTGTGCAAGATTAACTCCGTAGAGAACTGCCCTACCGTGGCTCAGAACAGACTGCTTTAGCTCCCTTGAGCCATTTGCATTTCCTTCCACGTGGGCTGCAGTTTTAGAAAATGGCATACTCTGCTTTGTTGTGCAGCATGTCCTCTGTTGGCAGGTGGCTTTCTGATGGGTCTACTTTTTGGGGGGCAGCTATGTGTAAAGGGTCAAAGAGACTCAGTTGTTTTTTCTTCCTATTGGCTTGTTCTCAGATCGTCCTGCCTCAGCCCTACAAGTTGACAAGTTATGGTGACTAGCCAAATTTTTTCCCTTTGAAAAAGCTGGCTCAGTGTTTTGGATGTCCCATTGGGTCACTTTAGGGCTTCCTGAATGCAAACATATTTGAGCAATGCTTTCTCAGTAACTTGCCACCGTAAGTTCTCCCTTAGCTTGTAGATAGTGATACAGTGGCAAAGGCTTGATGGGCTAGGGAGACCATCTTTGTCACAGATGTTGTACAATCAACATCTCTTCCAGCACTTGGAGGCCGAGAAAGGGGATTCCTGGAGCAAGCAGGCTTATCCAGCTCGGTCAGCTCATACATAATCCCAACAAGCCGCCTAACATCCGTCTGTGCTATAGCGTGTCAGGAAACTTGATTGGGAATTGGTTCCTCTAGATGCCGGCTGTTAGTAAAGATGGAAAACATGGGATTTGTGACTGTGCCCTGTACTTTGTTAGCTTTGTTTCACTGTTCAAGTTCTGTTCTATTTCTTTCTGTAGCCCAGGCTAGACTAAAGCTTACAGGCATTCCTCATGCCTAAGCCTCCCACATGTTGGTATTACAGGTAAGAGTTACCAAACCTGCCTTCTGGCCAAATTTCTTAACCTTTCCAAGCTTCATTATCCTTAACTGTAAAATGGAGCCAATAAACAATTCCTTCCCCCTGAGGCTTGTGAGGGGAAAGAAATACTAGCTCATGACAATTATGCTGCTGAGCAGGCCTCCCCAAACATCTGCTCTTTGAAACGCCCAGCCCAAGACAAATCAGAATATGCAATGTGATGCCTTTTGAATGACTATTCAAATTGTTTCACATGCAAAGATGACACAAGAACACTGTGGAAGCCTCCTGCTCCTGTGATACAGGTGTGTGCCTTTCCTCAGTGCTGGTGAGTTTAGTGTGTGTCGTAGGCAACGGCTCTTCCAGTCAGCGGCTCCCCCATCTCGTCCATGTTTCTGTATGTGTTTGAAATCTCCGACCTGTAAGCATAAGCCATGCTTGTGATTCCAGCATACAAAGTCATGTTTTTTGTGGCTTTCCATTTACACATCTTTTTTTTTTTACCTTGCTCATTTTCTGTCTTTATTCCCAATTCAGTTATCTCTTTCCTATTCTTTGTGGTGTCCCTGTCGTGTGTCCATGTCATGTGTCTGTGTTTGTGTATCCGTCCGTCTGTGTCTCTGCACTCCACCCCTTTTTTCTTTTTGTTGAGACAGTTTGTGTAACAGCCCTGGCTGGTCGGGAGCTCTCTCTGTAGACCAGGCTGGCCTTGAACTCACAGAGATTTGCCTACCTTTGCCTCTCAAGTGCCAGTTTGGATTACAGGATAAGACTCGGCCCCAAATGAGAACAACAGAACACAATATAGGTAGTACTGTGTATCTTAGAAAGCACTCAGGAAAATGAATACAGAATTCTAAAAAGAAAGTGTTTCAGTGTGGTATTCCCCGTGTCTCATCTTCCACTACCTTCATTGGAAAGTGGGAAATGAAGCAGAGAGTGTCATGTTTCAGGGCTCTGTA